GCAGGAACAGCAGCTCTGTGGTACAACAGGAACCCACCATGGGTTCACTGTGCAGGTGAGCTCAGCGCTCCCAGGGGGACTGCTCTCAGGGGCCAGAATCCCATTTTAAAATGTGTAACTTTTCAAAAATTGCATTAAAAGAACAGCTAACTGCCAATGGTCTCAACTGGTGGCATCCTGTGGGAAGGAGTGCAGTTCCTGCTCCCTTCTGCAGCCTCCCAGCCCTCACCTCCCGCAGGGCGACACGGCAGCGTGGGCGTTGTTCACCTGGTTGGTGTTAATGCTGGCCAGGACTTCACCCTTCGGGCTCCAGATCAGGATCGTAGTGTCACTGGAAGCTGTCATGATAAACTTTCCTGGGGGAAAAAAGGCAAAGATCAGCAGAGCTCCTGGGCCTAATGCTGCCACAGGCTTTGCAAAGGTCCAGGACAGTCCCTAAAGCACAACAACGTCCTCCCTGGACAGTCAAGAAAACCAAAAGCAGCACCAAAATCCAAGGACAGAGTGAAGAGCAGGACCTACAGACTCAGCTCCTGGTTGTGCCTTAGGGCACCCTTGGCCTCAGCAGCCAGCACCTGAAGACCAGGTGCGCTTCTGCCCCAGCACCCTCAGGTCCCACCTGCAGAGCTGGGCACTTGCTGGTCCCAGCAGGTCCCCTCTGCCCCAGATGGTTACAGCACAACTCGAGGCACCTGCAGCTCTCAGGTCACAGCCTGCAGGCAGGCAGCTGACATCAAGTCACACTAGTACACATGGTTACTGTCTGTGCCAGCACTTTGGACTCCTGCTTGTTTCCACCTGCAATGCTTTCCCCTTTTCCATCTCAGCCCAGACAGGGAGATGCCTGTTAGTACCTTTCAGCTACTTGTTGCAGGTCTAAGTTTTCACTTTCATGCTGAGCAAAGGTCTCAGTTAACATTTTCTCTGCTCTCCTATTACAGAGGTGAACTCACATCCACCCACCTCCAACTACCTGCTGTCTCATACCTGAAACCTGAATCCATCAAGCCCTCACCACTACCACATACCCTCTCCCACAGCTCCTGTTCTAGAACATCCCAGAAGTTCAAGACAGACCATATGAACTCACTAGAGAGATTTTTGACTGGTTAAAGACAGACTGGTGGGCCAGAGAACAGCAACTCTCCCAATACTGAGACCACAGCATCCCTGAAAATGTCAGCAAAGAGACTGCACATCAGGGAGTTGGTTCTGTGCTTACAGGAATATCATCTGTCTGAAATGACATCTCTCAGTTCCCTCAGTAGTAAACAAAGGCTGAAGAGGAACATCTAGAAAACTACAGAGAAACAAGTACTGGTGCAGACATGGGCCTTGGGACTGCCAAAAAATCCAACACTTTCAGCCCAGCAGCTCCTGCTTTACAAGGAAATCAAAGCTGATCTTGGAGAGCCTCAACGAGTGAGCAGCTCTGTCGTTTCCATACCTGTCTCTGCAATTCCTATGTTAATGACAGGAGCCTTGTGCTTCTTTGGGAAGTCCCCAGAAGTGGCAGTGAAGGTAAAGTTGCCATCATCCTTCTTACTCATTTTGTAGACACGGATAGTCTCGCCATTTGCCAGCCAAACAATGAATGCCCTGTGGAAGGACAGACACTCCAAACTGTTACAAAACAAACTACCTCAGCTCAGCCCAGCCACAGCAGGTAAGGTAACAGGTCATACAGTAGCACTTTGGGAAGGGGGTCCACTGGCAGATAAAAAGCTGAACACTTTACAAGGGCACCAGTTTCTCTCCCTGTATTAGCTCAACTGCAACACTGAATGGAAAATAACAGAATTTATTACTCTTCACCTGGAAACAAAATCTCTTCCTCTCTCTAAAAGAGGCCACTTCCCCAGATGCCAGGCCATGCCTTTGGCCCAGCCTTCCCAGCCCCCCGGGACAGCTCAGCCGGGCTGCAGGGCTGAGCCAGCACCTCCCACCTGCCCAGCTGGGCCCGGGACGTTTGCCCTGAGCAGCACAGGGAAGTGCTCTCTGCTTCCACCAACCACCGCTACTATCCAGACACCGGGAAGGACAGCCCAGCCCCCAGGACGCCCCGGTACCGGCAGGAGCTCCCCGGCCGTACCGTGAGTCGGGGCTGAG